TTATGGAGAGTTGTCTCATTGGCAATCATACCACATCTTCTATTTTTATATTTACTGCAGGGTTTGTTACTCGTGTTGTGTGGATGCAGTGGAATGTGTCCCCGTGCTTGTAGTGTATTCCCTAATATTTTTACAGTTGGGGATTTTTTGCTTGTTAGAGAGCTGTCTACATATTCCATTATATTAATGTCCCATTTCTTTTACTGTGTTCTGTGTCATTTGGTCTCTATTAAAGAATTGTCTTATTGGCAATTAATACCACATCTTCTTTTTTTTATATTTACTGCAGGGTTTGTTACTCGTGCTGTGTGGATGCAGTAGAATGTGTCCCCGTGCCTGTAGTGTATGCCTTAATATTTTTACAGTTTGGGGTTTTTTGCTTGTGAGAGAGCTGTCTACATATTCCATTATATTAATGTCCTATTTCTTTTACTGTGTTCTGTGTCATTTGGTCTCTTATGGAGAGTTGTCTCATTGGCAATCATACCACATCTTCTATTTTTATATTTACTGCAGGGTTTGTTACTCGTGTTGTGTGGATGCAGTGGAATGTGTCCCCGTGCTTGTAGTGTATTCCCTAATATTTTTACAGTTGGGGATTTTTTGCTTGTTAGAGAGCTGTCTACATATTCCATTATATTAATGTCCCATTTCTTTTACTGTGTTCTGTGTCATTTAGTCTCTTGTGGAGAGTTGTCTCATTGGCAATCATACCACATCTTCTTATTTTTATATATAAGTTTGATTACTGGTTGATAGCATAAATAACATTTCAGGAATGGCTATTCCTAAACGAAATAAAGTGACGTAGAAGAAACACGAACAAAACAATAATAAAATCGCATACCTCTTAAACACGTAAACCCTTTTGACTGCATCCATACAGACAAAAGATACAAAAAAAATCACGGATTCACTACATAATTCACTTGATAAAACCAGTCTGTGACAGTTATTACTGTTTATTATTAATTTTATTATTATTATTATCTATTTTACAAATGAATGTTAAAAACTTCTTATTATATATTTACAATCATTTATAGCAGCCTAGGGTTATATTCGAGTTATTAACTTAAATATACCCCGGAGTTTTCAGACATGATTGTAGTATCATTACACACTGTAAACGAAGCAAAGGTTTATGCTCATATACAGAATTTTTTTAATACAAGAAAACCTTCTCCAGACAAATTCGCTCATTCTTTTATAGTATTATTGATGTTATGTTTTGAGTTCTTTAGCATCTACTTAGATTTAACAGTTAAAATACACAAAATCCAAACCCCATTTCATGATTTTATTGAACAATAAACTTTCAGGGACATTACCATTAATACAAAATTTCCATGATAATCGTTAAAGTAGTTATTATACATAATAATTTGGCGAGACTCTATCCGGGTCTCATAAATATCTTTTTAATCTAATGTGCATTGATTTTCTATCATTTATGCGTAAGTTGATAATCCCTTGGTGTTTCGAATAATTTAATTTAACAGTTTATAAAGAGTGATTTAGAGAAAGTGACCGTATCAATGATATGTCATGTCAACGCAGGAGTGCTGAATAATGGAAAATAATTTGAAAAATCTCAAATTATATAAAAATAAGGAAATATGGTATAATTGCCAATAAGACAACTATCCACCAGAGTTTAAATGACGAATAAATAAATTTAGTAGGTTTTGTTTACTTTCTAAAACAAAACGTTAAATTTCAATTGTTTCATTTTCAACTGGATATCTGCCTGAAACGGGGAAATGACTGTTTAAAAACCCAGCTACTAGTGAATCGGCTCTCATTATTTCAAATTGCGAACAGAAAAGAGTAACAGGCAAAACCTATTACACAAAATCATTTCAGACTCTGAACTGTTCCACGAATAATATTATTTACGGAATAGAGTGTACCTTGTGTGGGCTACTTTATGTTGGTGAAACGCGACAACCACTGCGTAATAGGATGAACCAACACAGGTCTGATAATAAAATTCTGCTATATAGGATTCTTTATAACCATTTTAATAAACCGGACCATGATCCTTCTTTATCCATGAAAGTACGCATCATTGAGAAAACTTACCACCACACTAATAGCCCTATACTGAATACGCCAAACAGATAGAGAGAATTTCTGGATAAGGGAATAAGGTACTACAATGCCATACGGTTGTAAGGATAAAGTCAAAGGCGTAAGAAATTTGTCTAGTCAAGCCTGCAGTGATGTAAATGTAATGAGTTATTCAACACTAACTTAAGATCCAAACGTAGTCATGGTCAAAAACATTACCATCGTCCTACGTTAAAAAGTCTTCCAAATCTAGATTACTCACTGGGAGCTTTAATGTCCTACTTTCACATATCCATCATCCGCTTGGGTTACATTACATTCGTACCAATCTATTTCCATTACTTGTAAATTTTTAAAACGTTTACGAGATTATGCTCTTGACTTAGAATGTATGTTTTCTCCAAATATACAGACTAGTAAGTATAATTTGTGATGTAGCTATTTTCCGTCTATTTAAACCAGTATGATCTAAACCATTGCACGATGAAAATAGGAAATACCTTCAAATTAAGTTTTCAAATGAAAGAATTGCATGCTATCAACATCAGCAACGTTCTTCATCATAAAGAAGTAACATCTAAAATTCTGCTTTATTTTCAAAATCAGTCTGTTTTTACTGTCTCCTATAGTTACAGCAAAACCATTGCACCTAGATTATTTAATTAGAAACATGCATTAAAAAATCGTGATTCAGAATAATACTAAAAAAACCCTCTTACATGTGAATGTTCCCACTCTCCATATATTTACATACCTCCTGGCCATGTAATTACTGGTGATCCAAATACTGCTCTTTGGCCGGGTTGTTGTCTCTTTGACACATAAGGATTAATTCAATATTTGTGCATTTTATTCTTATTATCAAAATTCTACATATCCATAAATATTTATTACTTTACTATATATCCTATCAAAATACCTACTATAAAATATTTTTCTCTGTTGAAAAATATTTTAGAAAAGTTTTGTTTCCTGGTTAAGAGTTATGGATAAAGGTAAATTTCCGGGTTAAAGGTAATTCATGGATAAGTGTATGACAGATCGTCTAGTTCAGTTTTTAAATATGTAAATGCGTTTTATTCTATTTTGGCACAAAATTATTTTTAGGGGATTGTACTACTTATTAATACATTTACTTTCTCAAGAGTCTATTTGTAATGCCCCTGCGTATAGTTTTCATGTTCTGATGGATTTTTCGTACGATATAATTGTATATATAGAACTGTCGGAATGCGCATCTGGTGCAGTAAGATGATGAAAAATTAGTACCGATAATGTTGTTACAAAAGACTACAAAAAGTAACTAAACTTCTACGTCATTTGGTCTCTGGTTAAAAGTTTTCTCATTGGCAATCATACTAATCTTCTATTTCTATTATTCTAATAATTATGTCAACTACTAGTATAACATGTGTCCACTTGCACCATCCTATATCCATGTTCAGTGAATCGTGAAATCGAGGTTATAATTGTGTTGTTTTATTATTAACATTAACAGTTTCTTTATTGCACTATCTAGTGTTAACAACTGCCCTATGTCAAAATTGTTATTTGGCATATACTTTTACATTAACAGTACCAATTTCATGGCATCAGATACGTACTTCGTCAACTAATGTCTCTCCAGTAATATGCTATTAATTTCCAATGTTAAAATCCCTTAACCAAACACATGACATGATAATGCACCAATTTACCACTATCTCATTTGTATGTTCAGAAAACCGGAAAATCAGGGTCAAACCCGTTATGCAACAAGCAATATTAATAAGGTCACATCATGAGGTGGCACGGTAGTATTTGCATTCCGGAATTTAGGTTGCTCTTTTGTGTACCCTACTTAAGTCAATGTATCTGAACAGTGTGATTGGAAAAAAATACAGTATCTACTGAACATTGTTTCCAAAACTAAGGGATGAATCAGGTGTAGAAAAATATAAAATAATTTTATATACAGGTGAAAATGAATTTTGAGATTTTTTTAATTCACTGCATGATGAAAGACCTAAAAGCACTAGTGGCTTTACGTTTTTAAGAAAGCAAAAAAAGTAAACGGTCATGATACATATTCAATAAAATTGAGAATGGAAATGGGGAATGTGTCAAAGAGACAACAACCCGACCATATAGCAGACAACAGCCGAAGGCCACCAATGGGTCTTCAATGCAGCGAGAAACTCCCGCACCCAGAGGCGTCCTTCAGCTGGCCCCTAAACAAATATGTATACTAGTTCAGTGATAATGGACGTCATACTAAACTCCAAATTATACACAAATTCATTTCTGAATATTATAATGAAAGTACTTCAGTTAACTGTGTATGTAGAATTTTGGGCAGTGTTAGAAAGTGGTGAAAATCCTAAAAAGGTTATCATTATACCTATAGGCGAGTAAATACTACCTTGCCACCATGATGAACATGTGTGCTAAGTTTCAAGTTGATGTGACCACACATGCTAATCTATCTTTACCAAAAACTTTAACCTGATACGGAACTGACGAACGGATGGACGAACAGACGGACGGACTGGTACAGACCAAACAATTAATAACCCTCTACTAGCGTATGTTATTTAGAGTCCCTCTAGGGGAAGCATATCCGTCACATGATTATTTATTAAATTGTAGATCATCAATTATTCAAACAGCTTTGGCTTTTCAAAGTAAGGTTTTTTTTGCGTTTCTGATAAAAGTTAGTTCTACAAGCATTTCGAACCCGCCATATGTATCAAGTGGTATCTGATAACATAATTATCCCTAATAATTGATAAAATAGAGCAGAATAATGGGAATTAGCAAATTGAACCATCACTTTAAACGGGTTTCGCGTTTTTTTTGGTTTTTTTTATCTCAAGAAGAATAGATGTTTATCTCCACAGAAAATCTTAAGCAAGGATATGAAAGACAAATGGTATATACTTCTTTTTTTATTGTCCATTATCACAATAGGGATATTTCCGGCCTGTTCTCAGGTAGTACTTTCCATATGCATCGTATGCCAAGTTGTATCCCATCTCTTTGTGGCCACTTCCACCATTTTCACCATTTCCGTCCTTAAAATTTTTCCAATTTTGACATAGTTGGGAGGAAAACTTGCAGTCTGGATTTACAGATTCAATGAAGTAGTAAATTGCCTTCATGTGTGCACAACTGTATATAGGTTCTATTGCTACTATGGAAATTCAAAGTTGAAAGTAATACTTACTATACATTTATGTTGACCATACAAATTATGTTGCAAAAATAACATGAACATACCAAGAACTCCTCAAACACCATTTGCATGTTATGCAATGAAAATTTGTATTCAACCGAAGGTGATTGATCAATGGATTGATAACTGCATGTTAATTTAGAATGATTATATGTTAACGAGATATTGATATATCTTACTCTGTACAAAACTGACGTGCATGGTTCAGTTTTTTTTATGGTGCTAGTCCACAACTGCAATAGTCGGAAGAAATTCATATTACCCTATCATTTTAGACAAATTACTCTAAAACCGAAAATACCAGTCTCTGTTCTGACTCCTTAATGTCGCATACGCAGCGGTGAAGAAAAGATGCAAAATTTTAAGATTTACCAATTAAATAATCGAATCCACAACCAGTCCAATCTAGAGGCGATGTACAAAAATTAATTAATGCAATGAAAGCTATTTACAAAATGTTATAAAATATTAAAGATTTGAAAGAAAATAAAGTATAGATAAATTACAGTACGGTCATTTAAACATCCAGGTTGGATTTTGCCTCCATTTGGATAGAAATCTGCACGTCCCATTCTTTTTTGCAAACCAAGAACTACAAAAAAGTAATAAAATCAAACATTTTTAAAATGAAACATTAATAGGATTACAAATACTATACAAACAAATTTTTAAAAACACAACAGACCAAACCAATAAAAATAATTAAACAATTAAATGAAAATCTAACTAATTGATATGTACGACATATTTTCCTAGCTTCCTTAATTTTAAAATATCAAACCCGGAAAATAACAGTTGACGAGAACAACGTATCACAAGAACCTGTATGCTTTATGGGTTGATACTTAATTGAAGTACGAACAAAGACTAACCATATTACGTATTTCTTTCATTGAAATAAATCTTTAAAATTATTAGAATTTGATTTTGATGTTATCATGATTATCATTTACTTAAAATACCGATTCTAAAACTAGTTCCAATTCATTTGTTATATGATTAAGTATCAAACTATTCATAGCCACACATTCTTTTATCTTACCTTGACACATCTATCAGTGTTCGTGAAATTATCCTTCAAAGTTTTGAATATAAACACAAGATTTCGGTTCCTCTTTTTTTTAATCACCAAATACAAGTTTGAGAACATTAAAGTCAACGGTATAATCAATATCTTTGGCTTCACAATCAGTCTTTCAAGAAGAGGAAGTCCAAAGCAATATGAATACTGCGATCAGTAAATTAAAAATCAAATGCATTTAATCTTGACCATTATACTTACCTAAGTCTGTGTGTATGACGTCAACAAATGTGGCATCAGAAGAATCCAATCTCACTTTACCATTTGCAATATAAAATGCCGGACCCGCAGGGTCTAGACCTGTAAATATTATAAATATATCAACAGAGAACTTTACTATCTCGCTGTCCAGATATGTAAAAAAGTATAACAAATAACTGAACTCCAGGGCAAATTCAAAAAAGGGAAAGTCCATAAAAACTGAATAAAATCAAACGCTATCGATCAACAGGACAAGTGATAAACAACTGCCATATTCTTGATATTGTTACAGACATTTCTCGAAGAAAATGTTGGGTTCAAACTGGTTTTATAATTAGCTAAACCTCCCACTTGTATGACAGTAACGGAGAAAACATATACAAATGAACTGGGGAAAGACAAACTTTACAAGTTAATGTCAATTCAAATCATGGTTAAAATAGTGACTTACTAGAATAGATAAAATAGGGTTTTAGAACACAATTGTCAATTAAAGATCAAAAGTCGAGAAAGAGAATATTTACAAAAAGGAGAACAGTCAACAGTGAACAAAGACCTATATCAGTAGTTCATATAGGAAATTATTTTGGTCATATAGTTTGTCATGCAATGATACATCCCTTGCTTCCCTAATTTTGAACCTGCGCGTTCCTGGTGTAGATAGATTCAGAAAAGCGCCTCAGACGTACCAAATTTATAAAGTGTTCTCCTTATTTTGTACATTGTAAATAGCATGATAACATACTCATCCAAAAGTGATATTTTCATTATTTTATACCTGCAAAATATCTTTATCCATATCTTTAAAATAGTTCCAATAGCAGTAAAAGTTTCATATATTTAGATGAGGACGTGTGTGTGTTTCACGACGAATTAGGCGTCCTTTTACTACGGGCAACTAATACTGAATAAAAATGATATTTTTAATTGGAACTTAATTGCTAATTATGTGTTGTATTCAATTTAAACAAGTAGGAATGTTCCTGTGTATCCTTATTTTTGTATTGTTGTACATATTTTGGCGTATAAATCTAAAAAGTTTGCAACAAAACGAAGATATGTATTAAAGAAATATTCAATAATTCATACCAAAAAAGATAGAGATTTCAATTAACAAATATATCTTAAATAATACTTACCAGAAAGAATGAATTTGCAATATTTATAGATAAAAGTTACCTGTTATTCTACCCACGCCCTTTATTATTTCTCCAACATAACCAGCAACATGGGCACCTAGACTGTGTCCAACTAAATGTACATTGTTCAACGTCAAACCACTGGACATCTGTAATAGTTTAATCATGTTGGCAGTAACAGCACCCACAACACGAGTGTAGTAGTAATCGTTCTCTCCCTCTGTCCAAACCACAACTATCACATTTACATCAAACTGCCAAAAGAATACATACGAAAAAACAGTTTAATATAATGATGAATCTTTCTCCGGAAAAATCGTACTTTTAAACACCAAAAATTTTTAAAAATATCCTTAGATTTAAACTGAGATCTAGGTTCTATGGTCTACAACAATACGGTTCAATAAAGTGAATATGATTCGTGTAAAGTAAATCATTATAACCTGTATTGAAAGAATAAAACCTCATCAAATGATTATCAGGATTATCACTTCGTATTTGTATGGAACGCCAAAACTATCTTGTTATGCCCATTTTCATTATATGATGTGCATTTACCTTTATATGATGTACATTTTTCATTATATGATGTGCAAACACCTTTATATGATGTGCAAATATCCTTATATGATGTGCAAACATCCTTATATGATGTACAAATATACTTATATGATGTGAAAATATACTTATATGATGTGCATAAATCCTTTGATGAAATATACTTATATGATGTGCAAACATACTTAAATGATGTACAAATATCCTTATATGATGTGCAAATATACTTATATGATGTGCAAACGTACTTATATGATGTGCAAAGATCCTTATATGATGTGCAAATATACAAATATGATGTGCAAATATACTTATTATTAATATATGATGTGCAAATATCCTTATATGATGTGCATTTTCCCTTATATTATGTGCAAACATTTTAATAGGATGTGGCTGTGTCATTACATTATGTGCTTGTAACATTATATGATGTGGTTCGGTTTACTTCATTATATGATGTCAGAACGTCCTTATATGATGTGCTTTACCTGTATCTTGGCATTGCACAAGGTTGTGTTTTTCTCTGACTGTTTATGACGTCTTTACACTAAATCCATTGGATGTTGGATGTGAACTGATTGATATTTTAGTCTTAGATGCATGATTTTTTTTATTAGTTGCTATTGGCTTTGAACTAGCTACAGTCTCTCAGACCTGTACTTAGTGTCTTTTTGTTGTGGGGATGTATAAGTATCCGTTCACGTCCACTCTGTGTTTTTGTTAGATGTATTTCTATTTGTATCCATCTGTTGAGTTAAGCCTTTTTCAACTGATTTTTATAGTTTGTTCTTATGTTGTACTGTTACACCACTGTCCTAGGTTAGGGGGAAAAGGGGGAAGGGTTGGGTTGGCGCCTTCAAATGAGTTTAATCCCGCCACATTCTGTATATGCCTGTCACAAGTCAGGAGCCTGAAATTCAGTGGCTGTGTAACATATTTTTTTTTCGTTCATTATTTTGTTAGTTTTCTCGCTTGAATTGTTTTACCTTTGTCATTTTAGGGCCTGTTATAGCTTACTATGCGGTATGGGATTTGCTCATTGTTGAAGGTCGTACAGTGACCTATAGTTGTTAATTTCTGTGTCATTTGGTTTTTTTTTTTAGAGTTTTTTCATTGGCAATCATACCACATCTTATTTTTATATTTAATCGTTGTTATGGCCAATGAACATGATAACGACTAGAAGATAACTGTCTACGTCATAACTGATTCAAATCTGCTTCTCCGGAATTACTATAAACCCGGCTCAAATCTGTAGCTATCGTTTGGAAAATGGTTGAGATTTTAAAAGAGATAAACCTTGTCACGTTGGTGTCTCGTTTTAAATATGAAAATTTCTCATCTTAATAATAGTTGGAAAATTTTCAAAATATGAATTGCAAAGTTAGGTTTAATCGATGGGTCTACAATAATGAACAAACGGTTAAAGTTATTAAATCATGGGTCCTCGGCTGTGTATTGAGCACCTGGAGTTCAAATATTTGATCTACCAGAGGATATTCTTTATTTTTTTTAATGCCAGTTTACTGTTTCTGATCTAGTAGCTCCAGCCTCGTATCAGCTTCAGAAAGTGCAATTTATAGAAAAAAAAACGAGATTCTAATTTAAAAAAAAAAAACGTTTCAAACATTTTGGAGGAAGATTTTGATCCATTAAAACAAGAGCTAGTTAATGAATTTCCCTGCTGCGACGAAAATATGATAAAACAACTTTAATTGCAAAAGACACCAATTAAATCACAGTCATTTTAAAAAGTAATTCATAACAATAGCTATAAAATTATTTACTCATGCATAATTATACCGGTATGGATGGTTGACTGATTGATTAATTGGTTGATTAATTGCTGTTTAACGCCACTTTCAACAGTATCGTGCTATTTCGTGGCGGTCAGTTTTTTGGTGGAGGAAGCCGTAGTGCCCGGAGAGAACCACAGACCTTTCGTAGGAAAACTGACAATTCTATTCAATTAAGATTGGAGTCAAGCTTATCTGCCACTAAGTGTTGACAGGCTAGTAATACAGTAGTTCAACCAATTAGCCCACTCGCCCCCCCCCCCCTTTTCCCGATATGGATGAAAGGAGATATGGGATGAACTCGGTGCATTACATTTGCGCGCAGTTTTTTTTAATCGTTTTTATGTTTTTGTTTATATTTTGCAGCTTCAACTAGATGATGATGGATGGATGCTTAACGTCCAGCGGCAAATTAATATGCATATTCAGGACAAGAACATGCTAATGTATTATGAATATTTACCATGCTATGCACTAGGCCGACACGCCTAGCCGAATTTTTAACGGGCTAATTCACAAGGTAACAGTCTACAGGAAGACATTTCACTTTACCTGGACATATTATTCTGATTCCGCTTTGCTCTTACTCCATAATACTGCGTGCTTAGCTTGAAAGCAGCAAGTACCAATTTTAAAGCCTTTGGATATCACAGAAAACAGACCAAACAGTAAAAGTAATATTAATAATAGAACAAAGACAAATAAAAGAACAATATAACACGTTATTAAGATGATAGACAACGTCAGTACGCAGAATCTATACATCAAGACCATCATGTATTATTTGTGAAGTTGATACGGAATATTTATCAACAAGGTCTTGGTACCTTCCGATGAACTTTTTTAGAAAAAGGACTATACGTTCTTTGACATACCCCTGGTTGATCAACTTTCTGCTCCGACACTGGTGACGTTTTACAAAGTCTGAGTAGGAGCTGCAAGCTCTTGAATATCGAATAAGTTGGGAAATGTATTAATTTTTTATTGAAGTAGAAAAATATGTTTGTCCGGAGCACAAGGAAATACACATGCTCCCACCCACAAAAGATGAATATTCGGTGTCTAACCAATCTGATAAAGATACAGATCCTGTATACAAGCATTTTTTACAAGGATCTGACACCACTCCATGTTACTTTCTGTTCTGGTAATTATTACATCAGCCAATGAAATTTCAGCCTTCAAATTTTTGAAGGTGTGTATCAATCCAACAAAACCACGAAAAATAGCACGATACTGTTGAAAGTGGCGTTAAACAGCAATCAATCAACCAATTAATCAATCAATCAATGAGTCAATCATCCATAGTGGTATAATTATGCATGAGTAAATAATTTTATAGCTATTGTTATGAATTACTTTTTAAAATGGCTGTGATTTAATTGGTGTCTTTTGCAATAAAAGTTATTTTATCACATTTTCGCCGCAGCAGGTAAATTCTTCAACCAGCTTCTCTTTTAATGGATCAAAATCTTCCTCCGAAATGTTTGAAACGATGATTTTTGTTAAATTCCACTGTCTCATTTTTTCTATAAATTGCACTGATACGAGACTGGAGCTGCTAGATCAGAAACAGTAAACTGGCATTAAAAAAAATTAAAGAATATCCTCTGGTAGATCAAATATTTGAACCCCAGGTGCTCAATACACAGTCGAGGACCAATAATTTAATAACTTTAACCGTATGTTCATCATTGTAGACCCATCAATTAAACCTAAACTTTGCAATTCATATTTTGACAATTTTCCAACAATTATATAAGATGTGATTTTTTCATCTTTAAAACGAGGTACCAACGTGCCAAGGTTAATCTCTTTTGAAATCTCAACCATTTGCGCGCAAATGTAATGCACCGAGTTCATTCCATATCTCCTTTTATCCATACCGGGAAAGGGGAGGGGGCGGCTCGGTTGCCGAGTGGTCTAATTGGTTGAACGGAAAACAGATTTAAGTCGGGTTTACAGTAATTCTTGAGAAGCAGACTGGAATCAGTTATGACGAAGACAGTAATCTTTCTAATCGTAATCATGTTCATTGACCATAACAACGATGAAAGCACATCATATAAGGACGTTTTTACATAACATTATGAAGCAAACCGAACCACATCCTATAGTGTTACAACCACATAATATAATGACACAACCACATCATATAAAGATGTTTGCACATAATATAAGGGAAAACGCACATCATATAAGTATATTTGCACATCATATAAGTATATTTGCACATCATATAAGGATATTTGCACATCATATAAGTATGTTTGTACATCATATACGTATATTTGCACATAATATAAGGATTTATGCAGAACATATAATTATAATTGTACATCAGGTTAGGTATATTTGCACATCATATAAGTACATTTGCACATCATATAAGTATATTTGCACATCATATAAGGATATTTGCATATCATATTAGTATATTTGCACATCATATAAGGATATTTGCACATCATATAACCAATTTTATTTGCTAATTAAGAAGCGGAATAAAATAATTTAAGACAGCAGGGAAGATTAATTATGTAGTTTTATAGCTTCAACTGATATAAGGAATGAGAAATTTATACTGTAAATTTTACGATGTCTCTGTAGTGGCCAGTGGGTCAGATTTGTTTAACTTTACTATTTGATTAATTGTCTCAATTATATAACACCTTTTCACGTGTAGAAAACCATGTGAGTGGATTCCATACTTCTAATTGGTCATTGATCTTGCGGGGTCAGCTCAAGTTTACGTGCCATGTGTGCACTTCCTTTTATCATTAGCTTTCGTCTTGATAACTTGTGATTCTAAAACATTGCGTGAATTTTAAATCAATTAGTGTGTAATTTGAACTTATCTGTGTAAAATTCAAATTTTTTCTGGAAGATCCAGCCTG